ACTCTGTGGCTTGGGTGTGTTCGCGCCCCAACCACGACTTCAGGAGGCAATTTTGGTGCTTTATTTTTATCTCTGCAGTTCCTCCCAGGCTATAAGAAACTTCCCTCTTCCATATGGGGCCTCCACCCTGCCCCCCAGCCTGTGGGATGTGCAGCCCCTTCTCCCTGCTGGCCCCACACCCGCCATGGGGAAACGGCGGGGGCAGGAGGGGTGTGGCCGAGGCCCCTCCTGGCATTGTGTAGGGCTGGGGTGCTGGCCAGAGGAGACGCCAGCCAGGGCCAGAGCTGTTGGGGGTGTCCTTGGGCACTTGCTGGGGGCCTTGATTCCTGGGCCTGATGTGGAGGCATCTCTGAACTCAACCCCCATGCCTGTCCCTCTGCCGCTCCGTGCCAACCAGTATCTTCTGGGTGTTCCCGACTACACAGTGGGCCCAGCAAGGGGCCAGGCAGGGGAGGGTGCTGAGGCCAGGTGCTGGGTCCTGAGAGGGGCTGACTGTGGCCTGCTTAAGGCAGATCACCTGCAGGGGCCCTGGGCCATGAACGGCCGCGCTCCCTGCTGTCCAGGCAGTATGCAGGCTGGGGCGGGTGACAGCCTCAGAGTGGGACAGAGGCTGCAGAAGGAAGCCTGCTCGCTGGGCCTGGCTATGGCCAGCTGAGCTCACGGAGAAAGGTTGCTGGAACCTGGGTGGGCAGGGGCAGGAGGGAACCATCCTGTCTAGGGCTGAGTTGTGGGAAATGTCCTTGAAGGGCTCTTGAGCTGTGGCCTCTGGGATAGGGCTGAGGAGTCCAGAGCTGGGTCTGGAGTTAGCCTCACGGTGGGGGCCGGCAGGTGACACACCGCCTGGCCACCTAGAGGCCAGCCCATGCACCTGTCAAATTCTGTCCCCTGCTGACCTCAGCCTCACAGGGCCATTTGGAGGAGGAAACCGATCCAGGGCGTTGGGTCACACGACAGCTGAGTGTTAAGGCAGGGACTAGAGTCCAGACCCAGACTTGGATGCTTTTAGGGGGGTCAGGGGGCATCTGAACAGCGTCTGGAGGCTGGGGATTCTCTGTAGGATGTGGGATGGCCTATGTGTGTCTGCGTGTGCTGAGGAACACTCCTGGTTGCACGGGGGCGGGAAGCACTGAACATTCCTGGGTGACCCATGGGGAGTGGGGGGGCGGGGTGGGCAACAGCAGGGCTGGCAGGACTCCCTGAGGCCAAGGTGCAGGGAGACCTCAGGCCAGGCACAATCTTGGGCCAACTCCTGGAGAACCTCCAAAACGTGGCTGACGCCAGGGCTGAGCTGGGTCACCAGGTGGCATTAATAGCATCTTGTAGAGTATAAAATTGTGGAGCACACTTGTCCCAGGCAATTCGGGAACGCAGGGTTCAGCTCCAACAGCACATGGGGGGAGCGCCCTGTTTGCCTGACATTGCCTGCCCTGAGTTGGCCTCACGCTGGTGTGGACAATCTGGTCCAGGAGGAGACTGATCCTGCCCAGAGTCCTGCTGAGCAGAGCTGGGGTTTCCTGTCCCTCCCACGCCTGTTCTCCCGGAGGTGGGTCAGGTAAGCACAGGGTCCTCTGGGCTCAGACAGTTGTGGGGGCTGGTGCTCGGTGCTCTGGGCCCCTCCTGGCCTCCAAGAGGAGCCCATTCATTTTGGTCCTGTTGGTTTCATTACTTTGTATTTACAGTTAAGTTTTTACTTTTTAACGTGCTAGCCAGGTAAGATTGTAGCTCCACGTGAAGTTCTGCAAAGCTCGTAATAAAACAGCAGCCTCTGCTTCGGCGTCCAGGGTCCGTCACAGAAGCGGCTCCTGTGGCCTTCCTTTCTCGGACAACTGTTGGTTTTCCTGTTTTCTTCTGCATGTTTGTTTATTGATGTATCAAAATTCAGCCCCAGACTTGCTGACAGAATTTTAAAAGTCACAGTTTGGTCCAATTTCTCAAATGATTCTCCCGGTGGCCCCTGTCTGGGCTGCCCCAGGCCCCACCCACTGGGTCCTGTTTCTGGGTCACCACGTTCCCCTCTTGTGCAGTCTTCTCCCTTCTTTCCATGGAGTATAGTTTTGTTTTTTGTTTTTTTTTAAAGATTTATTTATTGCAGAGCCAGGGGCAGAAGGAGAGCATCTCAAGGAGATCCGATCCCACGATCCTGAGGTCAGGACCTAAGCTGAAACCGAGAGTCAGAGGCTCAACTGACTGAGCCATCTGGCGGCCCTCAGGGAATGTGCTTTCCCGGGGAGGGATGCCAGGGCCGAGAGGGCGGGATGAGGACTGGCTGACGGGAGTGAGTGGATCCCAGGCACGAGAGGTGTGCTGGGCTCCTGCAGGAGCGGCGTCATTGCCCAGCCAGTCTGTCGGCCACAGAGGGACCTCGCCTGCCGTCGCGCGGCTAAAAGGCGTTCGTGATTCAGCTACAAGCCTGGCTGGCTTCAGAACTTGATTTAAAAAAATTACTTTAAGAGAAGTTATGCCTGTGTTTGCGTAACTAGGTCAGTAGTTCAGTGGTGCTTGGGAAAGAGAACCACCCCACTTTTCCCAGAGGCAGTTTAAGCTCTCTTAGACGATTCTTCTGGTATTTATTTATTTATTAAGATTTTCTTTATTTATTTGACAGAGATCACAAGTAGGCGGCGAGGCAGGCAGAGAGGGGGAGGGAAGCAGGCCCCGCACCGAGCAGAAAGTCCGATGTGAGGCTCGATCCTGGGACCCTGGGATCATGACCTGAGCCAAAGGGAGAGGCTTAACCACTGAGCCACCCAGGCGGCCCCATTTAATGAAGTTAAAAAAAAAAAAATCTGCTCTGCTGTTTTTAATTCCTAAGAGACTTTTTGTTTGGGGGTGTGTGGGGTATTTTTAACAGTACTTGCCCTGTGTCTCCGGCTGACGTCCCTCCTCTGTGAGGATGTTAATGACGTGCTCCCAGGCTCGTTGCCTCCTTGCGCCTGTCTAGTGTCTGCTTCCGAGGTGGTTCTTCCTGCTCGTTGACTTTGGTCTCTGGTCTCCATGTTCCTGGCTTTGCCGTGGTAGAACGTGGCTGTGTACTTACAAGAAGCGGCCGAGGCCCACAAGGGGTCTTGGGGCTGCACTTCTCGTGGGAGCCAGGACGCTTGGGAGACACGGCTGGTTCCAGGCACAGCTGGCAGCTTCAGGAATAAAAACACAGGCCCCCTCGTTCAATGGGAATTTCGGCTACACAATAAGTAATTTTCATTATAAGTATGTCCTATGCACTATTTAATCTGGAGCCGCAAGGCCGGGTCCGTGGCGGGAGGCGCCGGGGGCCTGGGTATCGTTCTGCACCAGATGATACGCGGGAGGCTGCTGTGCGAGGGTCCGGGGGCCAGGGCCCCACGGGAAAGGCTCTCCGAGGCAGGTCGAGAGGTCTCGAGACACCTCGCACTCCTGACACCGATTAGATTCTTGATTGTATGACCAGAAATATTTTATGACCATACTAGTATAATTTTCCATCTTAGTGGGAACCAAAAATGTATATGATTATAAAGTCTCTGAAGTTCACTGCTTAAGTAGGCTAATACGTGCTTGCTAGATTTAAAATAGAGAACATGACAGTTCCAAAGGGAAAAAAAAAAAAGAAATTGAGCTTCTAATCCCTTAAGAAAGTTCACCCTTGGGCGCCTGGGTGGCTCAGTGGGTTAAGCCGCTGCCTTCGGCTCAGGTCATGATCTCAGGGTCCTGGGATCGAGTCCCGCATCGGGCTCTCTGCTCGGCAGGGAGCCTGCTTCCCTTCCTCTCTCTCTGCTTGCCTCTCTGCCTACTTGTGATCTGTCAAATAAATAAATAAAATCTTAAAAAAAAAAGAAAAAAAGAAAGTTCACCCTTTAAGAAAGGTCATTTTTGGGGCATCTGGGTGGCTCAGTGGGTTAAAGCCACTGCCTTCGGCTCGGGTCATGATCCCAGGGTCCTGGGATCCAGCCCCGCATCGGGCTCTCTGCTCAGCGGGGAGCCTGCTTCCCCCTCTCTCTCTCTGCCTGCCTCTCTGCCTGCTTGTGACTTCTCTCTCTCTCTCTCTCTGTGTCAAATAAATTAAAAATATCTAAAAAAAAAAAACAAAAGAACATTTTCTTGTGGAATCCACAGCTTAAAAATAAAAACAAACAGAACACAACCGCATCCCCCTCACCAAAAAAATGGGAGATAATGGTTGATTGTTGCGTAAGAAGCAAAGAGATACAAATTCATACAGGGAGCAAATAACACCAAGGAGACTTGACTTCATGGAAACATTGATTCAATGTTGTTTTAATGTTAGGCTGAAAAATGTGGGTTTAACAATTTCTATTGGGAAAAAGTTCAAATCATATTTATTTTTTTTTAAGATTTTGTTTGTCAGAGAAAGCATAAGCACGGGGAGCAGCAGGTGGAGGGGGGAGCAGCAGGTGGAGGGAGGAGCAGACCCCCCACTGAGCAGGTGTTCCCTCAGGTCATATTTTTAATCAAGGTGAACCCTTGGACAAACTAGACTGGTTTTATAATTTTGATTTAAAACAACTATGTGGAGGGGCGCCTGGGTGGCTCAGTGGGTGAAGCCTCTGCCTTCGGCTCAGGTCATGATCCCAGGGTCCTGGGATCCAGCCCTACATCGGGCTCTCTGCTCAGCAGGGAGTCTGCTTCCTCCCGCGGCCTCCCCGCCCCCCGCCTGCCTCTCTGCCTACTTGTGATCTCTGTCTGTCCAATAAATAAATAAAATCTTAAAAAAAAAAAAAAAAACAACTATGTGGGTATAAGATAATAGGAAGTTATAGCTTCTGGAAAAATTAAGTTGTTTACTGATGATGCAAAGTTCATTTAAACTTTACTAGATTTCCTGGTCTGATTTTACAGATCAGGTAAGTTATTTTTCTTGCACTCTTTTTTTTTCTTAAAGTAGTCTGTGTACCCAGCACGGGGACTGACATGGGGCTTGAACTCACGATCCTGGGATCATGACCTGAGCTGAAATCAAGAGTCAGAGGCTTAACTGAATGAACCACCCAGGTGCCCAGGCAAGTTATTTTTCCAGAAAATATTTAAGGTCGTGTAAATGCACACACATATGTTTAACTATATCAAGTACGGGCTCTCTCTCCTTGTAAACCTCGGCGCTCCGAGTTACTTGCATTTCATCATGTCACTTACCCCTCACCTCCCGTGGCATGTTCTCTCTGAAGGCGCTGTCGTTACCTCCCCTTCCCTGGGCACATGCTGCTCGGCGGTGTGACTTCGCTGCTGCTCCCGTTGAAAGCTGGGGTCGACCTCCCTCCTCTTGAGGGCTGGGTCTGCTCTGACGCACCGAGTGTGGTGGAAGCCGCCAGGCCTCGGTGTGAGGGGCCTGGCAGCTTCCGCCGGTGGAAGGGAGCTTGGGCTAGACTCCGGAGTACCAGCAGGCTGTGCAGAGGGAAGAGGCCCGTGGACGGAGAGGGAGTGGGTCACGTGGACAGAGGGTGCCAGTGGAGAGAGAAAGGGCCATGTGGATGGGGGGGCAGTGGACAGAGAGGGAGGGCCCCGGGGAGACAGGACCCACCTGGTAGCCACTCTGAGGCCCAGGTGCCAAAGTGAAGCTGGCTGGATCCCAGCCCCTGCTGAGCCGTCCCAGCCGCCACCACCGTGGCTGTCCTGGCAGAATTCCTGACCCACGGAGTCCCGAGCGGTGAAAGGTCACGGACACAGGTGCGATCTGCCCTGCAGTGGGGGTTGGGGCACTGCCCTCGGCGATTCTGCTCTCTCTGACCGTGATCGGGGACTCTCCTGCTGTCATTCAATCGGTATGGAACCGTGATGCCTAACTTTCTGTTGGGTTACGATCCAAAGCACCTGTGCGGACTGTCCCTGGAGGCTGCTGGTTGGCTCTTTGGCCTGTCCCATCACTCTCCCGCCAGTCAGTTTTCAGCACTCCCTCACCCCGGGCACCGAGGGTTCTCCAGGCAGTTGTGCCGGTCTCTTTCGCCAGTCCTAAGACTAGCCGCTTCTCCAAGGAGCCCTGGTTCCTTTTGTCGGAAACCGGTCTTAGAAACCAGGATCTGGGTGCTGGTGAGCCTGTTGCTTCCCGGACGACAGAGCTAGAAAATGCTCATGCGCGTGCTCTCCCGTGTGGGCTTGTGTGCGCCAGCATCTACACCAACCTGAACACAAGCTGATGCTGGCGTCTCCAGCTGTCACCCATGACCACACAGGTCATTCTAGCTGCCTCTCCTTGCTTAACTCCAAGTAGTGAGACACATGCCTGCCACGGCGGCCACCCACTTGCTGAACTGGGTGATGCTGGCACACACCAGAATCGATAAACCAGAGCCTGTGGGACACGGTGCTACTGGCTAGCGAGGAGGGCTGCGCACAATTCTTCAACCCCCATCCTTGCAAACTCTTCTCATCCCTGAAGTGAACTGGATCAGCACTTCGCCACCCTCTACACTCAGGTCATTTCATTCAAATTCCGATTCACTCCGATTCTCCCAACTTCCTAAAATAGCTTTTTTAAGACGGTGTGCATTGAGGTTCACACCGAGCTGTGTTCTTCCTTGAATCTTGATAAGCACACGGGGCCACTCACCCACCAGGACAATTCCGTCCAGAATGGCTTCTGTGCTCACGCCCCACCCCAGCTTGCAGTTGTAAAGCCAGTTCCTTTCAAGGTGGTTTGTTCTGGATCAAAGGCTACAGGAAATAGTGGGTAATTTTTAGAGATACTGAAATTCCCAAAGACGGACTACAGAGCTAGTGATCACTATATAAAAATGTTGGGTTTTTTTTCAGATCCTGTCTCGTTTGCTGGTAAAGGTACTGTGACATGCATGTTGTGTCATCTCCAGGTGCGCGTAGATGAACTAAAGTATCCGGAACACGGACACCGGTTTGCGGAGAGGCAGACGCTGTTGTTAAACTGAACCAGAGTGTCGGCAATGATAGAGAGAGGGAAACCAGTTGCTTCCTGCTTGAATCAGGAAGAGCATCTCCCTCACCCAGGCTCAGCCTCCTTGGGGTCTCCCTGTGGGTCTCGGGCTGATCCCCATCCATCTCGAAGCAGGCGGCCTGGGAGCATTCAGCTTAGCTCAAGATCCATATGCTGAGGCAGAGTAAGTGAGAGCCCAGGTAGGAGTGCTGAGCACGTGAGGTGATGGGAACTCTCCAGGCTGCACGGGCCCGGGGCTCACTGCAGGGGGGCAGGGTGCTGGTTTCCCTGTTAAGAGCCCTGGGGGAAGGTTACTGCGGCCAGGTCAACGCTTTGAGATGGGTGAGGGACCGTGTGTTGTGGGCATGACACCGCTGACCCCCCTGGCCCAGCCCGTCACACAGGAGAACTCCGTCCTCATGCAGCATCCCTCCCGGGAGAGCTCAACTCCACGCTTACTGTAAAGCCGAGATGCTCGAAGGAATCACACGCACAGGGACCTGGGGGGTCAGGTGGTGAAGCCTCAGGCTTCGGCTCAGGTCATGAACCCAGGGTCCTAGGATCGAGCCCCACATCAGGCTCCCTGCTCAGCGGGGAGCCTGCTTCTCCCTCTCCCTCTGCTGCTCCCCCTGCTTATGCTTTCTCACTCTCTCTGTCAAACAAATAAATAAAATCTTTTAAAAAGGGGGGGCGCCTGGGGGGCTCAGTGGGTTAAGCCTCTGCCTTCGGCTCAGGTCATGATCCCAGGGTCCTGGGATCAAGCCCTGCATCAGGCTCTCTGCTCAGCGGGCAGCCTGCTTCCCCCCCTCTCTCTCTGCCCGTCTCTCTGCCTACTTGTGATCTCTGTCTGTCAAATAAATAAAATCTAAAAATTAAAAAAAAAAATTAAAAAAAAAAAGGAAAGATTGGCTGGTTCATGATACAATGTCTCTATTATTTTCATATTCTTCTCTTTTTTTTTAAATAAAGATTGTATTTATTTACTTGTCAGAGAGAGAGAGAGTGTGTGTGCACAAGCATGAGCAGGGGGAGGGGCAGAAGGAGAGGCAGGCTCCCCGATGAGCAAGGAGCCCCATCAGGGACTCGATCCCAGCATCCCAGAATCAGGACCGAAGCTGAAGGCAGACACTTAACTGACTGAGCCCCCAGGTGTCCCTTTCGTTCATATTTTTAAGATTTTTTTTTTTTAGAGAGATCAAGGACACGAGCTTGAGGGGGGCAGAGGGAGAGAGAATCTCAAGCAGACTCGCCACTGAGCACGGAGCCCTCTACCCTGAGACCATGACCTGAGCCGAAATCTAGAGTTGGACACTTAAACCGACTGAGCCACCCAGGTGCCCTGTTTTTGTTTTTGTTTTTTTAAGCGCCAGGGCTCTTCCGGCATTGTTTTGGCTCCTGCCCACACTGAAGGGGAGGACACGGGGTGTGCCCCCCGTGTGCCCGGAGGACTGTGTTCCCGTTTGTTCACAGAAACCCTTGGTGCTCTAAGCCACCACATGTTCCCGCATCCCCAGACCACGTCCTCCTCTCTGAGACCCTCTGAGCCCTGACTTGCTCACTCAGCATATTAGCCAGATGGCGGCTGCACAATGCTCCCCGTGCACTCAGCTCTGCTCTCCCATCCGGGAGGCAGCTCCCCCGGCACTGGCCTGGACATTCACCGGGAGGCCGTCCCAGTCCGTCCTGTGGAGGGAGAGCTGCCCTGTTTTCTTCTCTTGACAGCACTTCTCCCAGGCATGAAAGCCGTCTTAGCTGTCTGTGAGCTGGCCTGCCGTCTGTCTGCCTCTCTCCAACAGCTTCTGGCTCCCCGGCACACAGTAGGTGCTCAGCACATATTTGCAGAGTGACAGGACAGTGGGTGTGAGCACGTGTCTCCGTCTGGCTGTGTCGTGGCGGCTCGGGATGCCTGTGGTTTCTCCTCCCAGTGAGCCTGGCTGCCTGGAATGTCCGAGTCCCCGGGAGCAGGAGCCAGGACCGGATTCTCAGTGGGGCTGGTTGACCCCTACCTCGTCCAGTCACACCTCCCCAGAAGAGGGGAGGGGGGTACAGGGTTCCGTCTGGCAGGGGCTTGGCTAGAGCTCCGGGGGGACTGCTGATGTCAGTAGTTTCGCCCTGGTGCGTGCTACTCCGAGGAGTGGAGGTGCCAGGCGAGACTGGGAAATGAGCCACCCACGGGCACCTGGAAAGGGGCAGAAGGCCCGCCGGATGCCACTCTCACCCGTGGCTAATAACTGCGGCGAGTGGGGGTTTTGCTGGCCTCGAGCAGAGCGGGCCAGGGAAGAGGGGGTCGGAGCCCTCCACTGCCTCTGTCCTTTCTCTCCCAGAGGTGCCTGGGGGTCAGCTTCCCCACAGTGGCGGTCCCCTCAGACTTACACATTTGGGCTCAGGTGAGGGCTGAGTTTCTGCTGGGAATGCCCCAAAGGGCTCAAGGCCAGGGACCCTGCTGGGAGTGGGAGGACGCCCACAGGCTCCTGGCTCAGGGCTGGGAGCTGACCTGGGGCCCCTTCCAGACAGAGGGGCCGGCGCTGGGCCATTTCTGCCTCCCTCCAACATGGCCTGGACATTTTCCCTCCATGGGGGAGAGACAGCCCAGCAGACAGAGGCGGGAACAGAGGACAGAGATGGAGAGACATGGGCGGGCGCAGAGAAGGGAGGTCACCGGCTAATATAAACCAGTTAAACAAACAGGAGGAGAGGCCAGGCCTCAAGACCAGGCGGGGCTTGTTTTTCCAGAATGAAAGGCCCAGGGAGGTGCTGGGACCAGGATGAGCTCTGATTCCAGTTTGAAGAGGGGCTCCAAACCCCAGGGCCCGAGTCTTGCTGAGGAAATGGGTCCATTGTCAGGGGGCTCCTCACACCCTCAGAATCTCATTCCCTCTGCTGTAGCACTGAGTCCCCCCACCTTGCCTGAAGCTGGACAGTCCAGCTGAACTGGAGTCGCTGCTTGTCTGAGGAAATGGGGACCAGAACAAGGTTCCAGGGTGAGACCCTGCCCACCAGGGACTGGGGCCTGTGACCATAATTCTGTGCAAATGGATAGTCTAAAACATGCACTGTGGGTTTTGGTGGTTGTTTGGATTCTTTTTCTTTTTCTTTTTGAGGTTTGCTTAACTAGAAAGAGTGGGTTTGGAACAGTGTGTGATATGCTATTTTGCATTTGTTTATGTGACTCTGTAAGTTTTCCCAGAGCTCAAATTTGTACCTTCCGTTGGGGAGGCTCCCATACCTGCCTTTCCCCCTCCACCCTGGACTGGGAGCATCCTAGCCAGGGTTTGGTTTCAGGGACACCAAGCTCCCTCCTTAATGGTGGGCAGATGGAGGTCCAGGCCAGGGGGCAGGGGCTGGTCAAACGCTGCCCCTCGGTGCTCAGCGTCACCACCGTCATGCCCTGGCAGGCTCCTCCAGGTGGTAAAGAGTGCTGATGGGCCGCAGAGCCCATCATACTGTCCTAGGGGAGCCCCCAACCTGCCCCCTACCCAGGGTGGGTGTGACTGTTCATTTCCTTTCACAAATGAAGAAATGCGGCCTCCGGAGGAGGCTGAGGGGAATAGGGAAAGAGGGTAGGTCTGGCACCCTGGGCTCCTTGGGGGTACCAGTCCCAAGATGCCTTTTTGCTAGGAGGGACATCTCGGGCTCCACAACGTGCACAGAAGGGAGGACCTGCCCACGCTGTCCACACAGGGGAGCACCCTGGGCCGGTTCCTCTGACAGAGGTGCACGTGAGATGATGTGCACCCCAGAGCCCCGCCCTGCGGCAGCCCCAATTGGCCTCATATGTCACAGCCACCCCCACAGCATCTGGGACCAAGCACTCAACCCTCCTGCCCCTTCCAGGGCTGGGCAACTGTCCCCTTCTCCTTCTCCGGTACCTGGGCCAGAGGAGGGACAGGGTCTCCACTCTGATTTCCCCTCACTTCGTTGGACGCAGGGCCCTGTGTTCCTACCCCTCCTCACCAGGCCAGCCAAAGATTCGGGGAGGACTAGGGACCAGCAGGAGCCAGAGGGGGCGGTCTGCAGACTGTCGACCCCGCCCAGGGCTCCGTGATGTCATGGTGGGTGCTAAGGAGGGGGAGGGGGCCGGGCTGTTTTTCTGGAGAGTTGGAACAGAAGCGAGACAAAGCGAGGCAGTCGGGCCAGGCAGGCGCCATGGAGCTGCGGCCCCAGGTTATGATCTGGGAACTTGTGCTTCTACAGAGTGAGTGTGGGGTGGGTGGGGGTCCGGAGTCTTCGGGAGTCTGTGTTCTGGGCAAAGCTGCCTGTCTGAGCTTGAGTGCAGAGGAGTGGGACGCTCCCACTGCCGGGAAGGGGCTGGGTCTGGGGCGGGGGTGCTCAGGGTGGCAGCGCACCAGGATAAGGGGCCCCCAGGACCCAGGAGGGGTGAGGTTTGATGTGAGATCTCCACCAGAACTTCCTCTCACACAGATTCCACGGATTCGGATTCGGGAGCCAGAGGGCCAAGAAGGGCAGGGAGGTGCCTCTCACTGGGGTCCCTCCCCCACCCCCCTCTTCCAGAAAACCCCTCGGGTCTGCACTACTTCCTGTGGTCAGAAGAGGAGTGGGTTGGGGGATATAGGGGGCCTGGGAATGGTGGGGCTCGTGGGGTCTGTTCTAGTCACCCCCTTGGCTCCCAGGCCTCCTGAGCCCGCCTCCTGGGCTGGCCTGCTGACCCGGCACATTCCTCCTGGTCCTGGGCGCTCAGCCCATCTCTGGAGCAGGAACTTGCCTGTGGGGTGTGGACGGTCCAGCACTCCTGCTTTAGACCTCTACCCTTCAGGACGGCTGTGGGGCTCTGGCCCTGAGAACTGGGCGTGGGGCAGGCTGCCTAGCCGTCTGAGGAGTCTTGAGGGCTTGTGTGGCAGGGTCCTTGGCAGGTGCATGTACCTCATTGGACATGAATGTGCAGAAGCCCCCAAAACAGCCTTGAGCATCATGCTTTGGTGCTCTGGTGGCCTTGCTGCGGCGATGGTGACAAGCACACTCCAGAGCTGGCTCTACCATTCACCCCCAAAAGGGCAAGAGCTGTCCCACAGTCGAGGCGGGTGGCTGTGAGGGTTGGGGGGGCTGTGGGGACTGTGCCCACGCCATGGGAGGCTAAAGGAACCCCCTCCCCCATCTCGTCTGCCTGGCTTCTCTGACTTCGTCCCCACCTGTTAAAACGGTGTCATCCTGGGGGGCTTAGCTGGTTAAGCATCTGCCTTTGGCTCAGGTCACGATCTCAGGGTCCTGGGATCAAACCCTGCCTTGGGCTCCCTGCTCAAGGGGAAGACTGCTTCTCCCTCTCCCTCCCTCTTCCCCCCATATGCTCACGCACACTTGTATGCTCTCTAATAAATAAAACCTACTTAAAAAAAAAAAAAAAGAGGGTATCATTAACACCCACCTCAGCAAGGGCTGTAATGGAACCCGGGCAGCCAAGTGGGGGGTCTGGGGCTGGGTGGGTGACCTGGGTGCAAAGGGTCAGGTCATCCCCTCCCCAGTGCGACTCTCTGCTTTTTCCAGGTTCTGCTGTCCTTCTGTCCTCAGGTTAGTGACTGCCCTCCCCTGGAAACCATAACACTAACCCTCCTGTCTTGCCAGACCCACCCTACCCCTTCCCCTCGGGTCCTACCCTCCACCAGTGACCCCTCCTCCCCACCAGTGCCCTCAGGGCCCGCGCCTGCCGCCAGCTCCGTGGTGTCCGAGTCCACAGTGAGCTGGGCGGCGGGCGCCCTGGCCGTGCTGCGCTGCCAGAGCCCGAGAATGGTGTGGACCCAGGACCGGCTGCACGACCGCCAGCGCGTGGTCCACTGGGACCTCAGCGGCCGCCCGGACGGCGGCCCGGCCCGCAGGCTCGTAGACATGTACTCGGCAGGCGAGCAGCGCGTGTACGAGCCGCGCGACCGCGGCCGCCTCCTGCTGCCGCTCTCCGCCTTTCACGACGGCAACTTCTCGCTGCTCATCCGCGGTAAGGGGCCTGGGCGCCGCGGCGGGGGCCCGCGGGGGCCGCGGGGGCGCGGGCCGGCCGCGCCCTTCACCGCGGGGCTTTCTGCCGGCCCGTAGCGGTGGACGAGGCCGACGCGGGGTTGTACACCTGTAACCTGCACCACCACTACTGCCACCTGTACGAGAGCCTGGCCGTCCGCCTCGAGGTCACGGACAACCGTGAGTGCGCTCCCCACTGCGTCCCCCCCCGGGGACGCGCCCCTGCGGGCTCCCTGCCCGCCCGCCCGCGCTGACCCGCCTGCACCCGCAGCCCGGGAGGCCGGCGCGCACTGGGACGGCGAGAAGGAGGTGCTGGTGGTGGAGCGCGGAGCGCCCGCGCTGCTCACCTGCGTGAACCGCGCGCACGTGTGGACCGACCGGCACCTGGAGGAGGCGCAGCAGGTGGTGCACTGGGACCGTCAGCCGCCCGGGGTGCCGCACGACCGCGCGGACCGCCTGCTGGACCTGTACGCGTCGGGGGAGCGCCGAGCCTACGGGCCGCCCTTCCTGCGCGACCGCGTGGCGGTGGGGGCGGACGCCTTCGCGCGCGGCGACTTCTCGCTGCGCATCGACCCGCTGGAGCCCGCCGACGAGGGCACTTATTCCTGCCACCTGCACCATCACTACTGCGGCCTGCACGAGCGTCGCACCTTCCACTTGAGAGTCACCGAGCCCGTCGCCGGGCCGCCCCCGCGGGACTCGCCGGGCAACGGCTCCAGCCACAGCGGCGCCCCTGGCCCAGGTGCCGCGGCCCATCCCCCCGCCCCCCACGGGGACCTGGGTGTTCGCCAAGGGGAGGGCCCCTCGGGCCGCGGCCGTGCATCCCTTCCCGAGCCCCGCGCAGTAGCGGGGGCGGCTGGGTCCGGTGCACGCTCCGTGGGGCTGCGGCGCATTCCCTGACACCGCCCCGCACGACCCGTGCAGATCCTACCCTGGCGCGCGGCCGCAGCGTCATCAACGTCATAGTCCCCGAGGGCCGGGCGCATTTCTTCCAGCAGCTGGGCTACGTGCTGGCCACCCTGCTTCTGTTCATCCTGCTGCTTATCACCGTTGTCCTGGCCGCCCGCCAGCGCCGCCGTGGAGGTGAGCTGGGGCTCCGGTCCGCAGGGTGGGGGGCCCCCCCGCAGTTGGGGGTTGGGTGGGGGGCGTGGGGCGGGTGCTCTGTGCAGAGGGTAAACTGGGATGGGAGGCTTCCTTAGGGCTGAGGGAGCTGGGGAGGGGACACTGCTCCCAACATGAGTCTTCCTCCCCAGGGTACGAATACTCGGACAAGAAATCGGGGAAGTCAAAGGGGTGAGTGTCCCCTCCAGGCTCTCCTGGGGACCAGACCCCCCCCCATCCCACCCTGATCTAACTGCCTACCACCCTCTCCGCCTCCAGGAAGGATGTGAACATGGCAGAGTTGGCTGTGGCCACAGGAGACCAGGGTCTTTACAGGAGTGAGGACACCCAGCTAGGTGAGGGAGGGCCCCAGAACCCAGGTGCAGACTGCGGCTCCCAGGCCTGAGCTAGGTAGGGGAGGCACATCTCTGGGGGCCGGGGGGCCTCACCCTGCCCTCTTCCTGCACCAGATTACAAAAACAACATCCTGAAGGAGAGGGCTGAGCTGGGCCGCGGCGCACTTCCCACAAAGAACATTGACTTGGACAGAGGTGAGTGACCAGGAGGGCTGGGCCCATGCCTCACCCTGTCCACACTCACTAGTCCCAGGAGGAGGAGTCCTTGGGCAGTCCTGCTAGATGTCTGCCTTGTGTTTACCCCTGTGACAGAGGGGCAGAGGGCAGACACCCACCCGTTCCCTTGGCTTCCAGAGTTCAGAAAGGAGTACTGCAAGTAAGGGATCCTGGGCTCCTGGCTGGGCCAGCAGCCCTGCCAGCTCCTGTCCGTCCATCTTGGAGGATGACCTCCTGACCCTCATGTGGCTCACCCGACCCCCTTCCAGCGGCTGGTCCCGCTGTCCTGGAACTTGGCCTGGACTGGCACAGAGCAAAGCTGCCTCCAGCCCCTCTCCCGGGAGCCGTCCTAATCCTCTCTGGGATTCTGCTGAGCTGCGGCGGCCTCTTCGCCAGCCCTCAGCAGGTGCCTGCTGGCTCCCACACTCCCTGGTGGTCCTGCCCCTCGCCCCACCCCAGGCCAGCCCCGACCCCACTGATGTTCACCAATCCTTCAGGCTCTCCTGGCCCCTGCCACCATGGGCTGGAGCTCGGGTCAACCTCAGGGCTAGCACCCTGGCCCCTTTCTAGGGGGAGCCTACAGCTGGGACCTGAGGACTGCACACTCCAGGCCCCGGGCTAATTCCCCTCTGCTCTGTGTTGGGCTACCTGGGCCTGCCGTGGAGCTTCTCTGCCTCCCACCCTATTCCAGCTTTGTTTCCAGCAAGTGCCTTGACAGTCACTGGGCTCCATGTGACTTTTGACTCTGACTCCCCCCCACCCCAGCAGCCCCTCCTTGGGCTGGCATCTGGGGCTGGGACCTCATTTGGGTTCTGTTTTGGCTGAGGACCGGGGAGGAGTAAAGACAGTTCTAGAGCGGTTTGTGCTGCCACACCCAATACCCCACATTTGCTCCTCCTGGGAAATGGCCACCATCACAATAAAGACCACGTGATTTTTAGACTTGGCCCCAGGTATGCCTCTGTGGCTCCCACTTCATGTCCTGGGGGGTGGAGTCTGGGCCTTGGGAACCTCAAGAGGCTTTCCTTCCCCACCCATTTCTTTGAGTGGGAGGTCTGAGTCCAGGTATCCTGGGAAGAGCGACATCGGGTCCAATCCTGTGTGTCACTGTTCCTGGTTGGGTTGTAAAGGAGTTCCAGATTCTCTTCTGAGGGCTTATTTGGACAAGGAGGAGGGGAGCCTGGACATGCTCAGAGGACAGCCCTCTGTGCAGCAGAATGGGATTAGATATGTGAGGACAAAAGGGGGAAGCAGGACGCTGGTGAGGGTGACAGGAGGGGGCTGCAGGAGGAAGAAGCCAGTTGTGTTTCCCCAGCCCTGACCTCAACCCCCAAAACTCTCCCAGGGCAGCAGGAAGTGGGGAAGGATGTCTGCCACCCCATGCTCGACCCTGGAGGTGGTGTGTTGAGACTGCGGGTAATGTCCGGCTGAATCAGGGGCACGAGCCGGCCACACGGGGTCAGCAGGTAACCTGGCATCTAAGCTCCCACTCTGGGGAAGTGAAAACCCCAGGGCCGCTGTGAGGAAGGCATAGTTTCAGGACACGAAGGAAGGCAAGTCAAAAGATTAGTCACAGATCCCAAAACGGGGCTGTGCTGAGCAAGGCTTCAGAAGGGCAGTCCTGCATTCCGGATCAGGAGAGAGACAGCAGGACGGCACACGCCTACTACTTATAAGGTGATCACTGATTTTTTTTTGTAGGCTCAGTTCTGAGTGGTCATTTTTAAAAGGGACCGAGGGAGACACAAGGCAGGAGTGTGCAGCCCGCATCCTAGGCTCAGGCTCTTGCCTGAATGAGCGGACTCTGGATGTGAGCAGCGTTGTCAGCTGTGCAATGCTGCTTGGACAGCACCGGAGTGGCTGCCCTCTCACCACACACCTGCAAGGATCCCACAGTGGCAAAGGCCGGGGGGTGGGGGGAGTCTGGTCCAGGGAGCTGTGGCTTGCTTGCCTGCCTCCCAGCCTGGTGACCCCTGGCCCCATAGTGGCTGCACTGCTCTGACCACAAACTCACTCCTCCTTGCACTGGACCAGCCTGACCACATCAGAGACCGCTGGTACTGGTCTCTAGCCTCTGGCTACCAGCCTCTCTCATATGACTTGTGCAGCAATGCGAGAAAGAGAGGTTTGGGGGGCGGGCAGCAGAGCGCAGAGGGGGCATCAGACCCGCATCTGTGAGACCAGCAGTCACTGGTGTCTGGCCTGGGGGATGCTGGTCCCCTGGGAGCTCTCAGAGTGGGGACTGGCTCCCTCTCCTAAACACCCAGCAGAAGGCCACGGCAGACCCTTCCTCCAAGGCCATGCTACCTGGCTTCCTCAGATTACCTCTGTGGAAACCAAGACCCGAGGGGAGACGCTGCATGCTTTGCTGATTGAGTGTCCACCTCACAGAGCCCTGTCCTCTGTCCCCACCAGAGCCTAGGGGGATGGAGGTCAGTGCCCTTGGCCTAGGCTGACCTGGGGGTGGTCTCTAGCCTGAGCTCAGGGGCTCTCCTTCAAAGTCTGGCTCCTGCAGTCAGTGGTGGACTGATGGGCTTTTTCCTGTGCTGATCCACTGCCCAGGGATGGTCATGACTAGGAATCTGGGACAGCTCCAGGCTCCAGCCAGCTTCAGGGGGAGTGCTGGGACAGGTTGCAAGGGGCATCGGTCATCCTCCACCATGATCACTCTCGGGTCCTATCGGCCTTCACTTTCACTCTCACCGTGTGGGACTCCTTCTACTGGCCTCAAGTCTTCCTCCTGGGGTGGGGGAGACCCTCTACCTCCAGCGGGATCAGCGTGTGGTTGGAGCCTCCACAGCCGGAGGGCTGCTGCTCTGGGTCTCCCTTGGTCCCCAGAGGACCCCAGGCTGGTTGGATCGACAGAGGCGGTGATGGGGGGAATCTTCGCCGGTCGCCAGAAGCGCCAGGCCCGGGGCACTGTGTGCACACGTGCGTGCGCACTTGGACGGCGCCGATCTCAGCCGCCGCCTTCAGCCGCACACGCACTCCCGCCTCCTCGCGAGCACCCGCATGCGCTCGGCGCGCGTTTCGCGGAGCCTCTGTGGCGCCGACAGAGGACGCGCGGGCACGCAGCGGGCGTCCGGGCACGGGACCGAGCTGTCTCTGGCTCCCGCCCGCACACAAGTGACCTCAGCTTCCCGTGCTGCCCCCCCCCGCTGCCCGCCGATGTGACCGGGACGCCCCCCGACTCTGAGCACCCACGGGCCCCGGAGCGCTCGCGAAGGGGGTGGAGAACCGGAACCCTACTCCTGGGTGGTGCGGTCGACTCCTGGGGGCCCCGGCGGGGGACCTGGCGTCGCCTGGGGCGGGGTCTCCCTTCTGACCGCAGGGCTGCTTCCGGGGGGCTCCCAGCCCTCTCCCTCCGGGGGACGCGCGCCTGTCAGCCCACGGGCCGACACCGTAGGCTGAGCAGGGGTTACGGCCCGAACACATTGGGGGCGTCCCGCGTGCCAGGCCGGGGACCCCGGGTGGGAGAAGGGGGGCGGGGGCTCTGCGCGGGTGCGGCCGCCGCCGCCGGCTCCGCCGCCTACGCGCTCCCCCTCACCCCTACCCCGGCCCTTCCGCGCGTGCGCATCCCCGCCCCGCGCCGCGCCGCCAGCGGCCGGGTGACGTCAGGCCCCGCCTGCTCTCGGGCGCCCCCCGGCGGGCGCGCGCAGGCCCGGGGCCGGCGGTCCCTTTAATTTTTTTTTTTTTTTTTTTTTTTTTTTTTTTTTTTTTTTT